GCATGAAAGCGAATATTTTTAGTACAGATTCAATCGAATCGGACAAATATTTTTCTTTCAATCGTGGCAAGACTGGATCGGTCACATACACACACACAGACATACATACATAAATGCGGACATGCTCTAAAAACATCATATTCTGATTCCTGAGCCCGAAATTAGTCATCCTAACACAAAAAAATGGAAACTTAAATTTTGAGGATTACAATGCTTCCATTCGGAAGCAATTCTAAATTTTCATTCAATAAATTCATGAAGAATAATAGCAGTCAGAAGAAGTCTCGCAAATACTCTCTTGAATTATCAATTCATTAAAATTCTGCGTGATCAGGCACCTCATATTCATGTCAAATTTCATTGAATTTTTAATGGAATTTAAAATTTTAATCAACTGAGTCGATTTAGTTTAATTCCTTTTCCCTCCTCTTTCGATTGTAAGGAATCGCTGCTTGGAAGGAGTTCTTGAAATTCGCAGCCCATTTCATGGTATGCCACAGTATTCAGAAGAAAATTGAGCGTATTGATGGGCCTACTGCACGAAGACGTGAATGGGAGCTTTACGAGAGTCTCATGTTCTTGAGCGTGTTCAACCCTCCCGAGAGAGATATCCAAGAAGTAGGAACGCTCTCTAATTCATCCTCATTCTCTTAGAATTCTGATTCTATTTATCAGTTCAATAAAATTGACATAATACGAATAGAGAAACTGATCCATTCTATCTGACTGTCTCTCTCTTTCTTAATTGAAATAGTATATTGTGTTACTACTGCGTAAAGAAGTATTTACTCGCACGTACGCGTAACGAATAGTTCTTTTCTGCTCATCGTCCGTAAAACAAACATTTTCCGCGTACTGAACAGGTTTAGAAGGTAAACTGTTTACAATTACTTCATTATTTATACTTTGCAGATCTGAATTTGAATCCCGACATTGAAACGTAAGAAAACATTTCAAAAATATAAAAAAATAGAAAATCTACTTTCATAGTTACTAAAGTATTTTACGCCTTCAACTTGTGTATTTATGCAAAATGGAGATGTTGCTACTCACCAGCATTAGCACACAATGAATCGATATACGAAGCCACCGTGCGACTTAAAACTTGTGCGGCAGGTTTCACTCGCATTTTGGGAATTTTCTTGATATCGACATGCCGTTCCGTCAATTTCGGCATGTTGGGTCTGAAATTATTAGAGCCCGTATCGATTTCATATACCGTCTTGATTACTTCCCACGAGGCATACTTCCCAGTCGATAATGATGGCTTTCTCTTCGTGTCAGTGACATTCGTCTCGAGATACTTCGTCAAAAAATTAGTACGAGTACCCTTTCCGAGATGAGGTGGATCAAAAATATGGATCATTTCAGTTTTTGAGAGGACAAAGGTATCTATGGCGGTGAAATAATACATTATGCATCAAAAATTCAGGGATGAAATCCATAGAAATTATTCGCGAAGTAATAAAACCAGATAATTCAAGACCCCTCCGTTTTCTTTATCATTTCTCAATAAGTACAAAAAATATTTTTTTCTATCGTGTAATTCATGAAAAAACTCAAGAAAATAAAATTCAAACTTTTTTGCGCGATCAATGACTGAAAATTCAAAACAGTTCATGTAGAAGAGATGGAAAAATCCGGAAAAATGTGTGAATTTCCTGACTTTTCCACGTTTTCAACTTTACCCCTGCTGGCTTTTCTTGAACATTCAATAGAATTCAAATTTATTTGGGAAACACCTAGAGTTTTTTCGAATTTTCTATAAAACTAGGAAATTCCTTTGCTTTATTTTCAGAAAGTCTTCAATTTTCTAGCACTTCAGAAAATTCTCGTGACTTTAAGAATTTTCTCGCATTCTCAAATCTAGAATTCTATAGAACTCACTTTTTTCCACTTTACGATGTCCATTACTTTGCTTGATTAGTGATCTAACCGTCGAGCAGTTCGTTGACGCTTGGTCGCAGACCGAAGCAACCAAGTACAGTCCTGCTTCTTCCACTGCCTTCACAACAATTTTTATACACCTCCTGGGTAACTTCCACCCACTCTCAATACCTCTTAGCATAAAAACAAGCGCGTGATCATCGAACTTGCTTGTCCTGTTATATCCCCAATCCTCGAATCCAACTAATGCATCGATTTTGGTATCGTATTGGAGGTGCAGCATCAGTTGCACTTCGTCCCACATAATCACGCAATATTTGTCCTTCTCCTTCATAGTCTGTACGAAATCTTTCAATTTTGCCAGGACAACCATATTCAGCCCAGTTCTATAGGGTATCTTGTTTAAAAGTTCGTCAAGTGTTGATGTGTAGGGGGCGATGAGGATAGACTTGAGACGCTCATAATATTGGGGACACCATTTGTACATTATTACCGACAATACTTATTTCTTTTTCTTGTATCTTGTTCCCGAATTAATACATTTTCGTGTTTACTCATTCTATAGTTTATGTACTCATTCTCTCATCTTTACGCGATGTCAAAATTAATTGGTCATGAGGTGAAAAATTATCTGAAAAGTTTCAAGGCCCACTTTTGCCTCATATTTTCCATACGGGGAGCAAATTACATGTGCAAAGAACTTATAGTTCCACTGAAATTTAATCTGTGAATATGATTTTTTTTTTTCTATGAAAAACGTATTTTCACTGGAATTTCAAAGGACATTGGTATTAAAAATTCTAAATTTTATAGAAATGAATGAATTTCGTGACCTTGAATTTAATTAATCCATGAAAATTAATACAATGGATCATTAATTCCATCCTGCATTCCCCTGAAAAACCTCACCAGTGTAAAAAAAACTCAAAATCTCATGGAGATTCGAAACAACGTTTCCTCAAGTGAACGTGGATGAAATAGTAGTATATTATATCGCCATGTGGCATACGATATTTTATGTCGTTGGGCCCGGAAACCGCGATCTAACCCAGCGAAGCGAGGTTAGAATCGCGGTTTTATCGGGCCTAACGACATAAATATATTTAATATGAGGTATTTATAGATTTATGCTCTCGAAACCCAGAAATTCATCTCAAGTTTTTTTTTCCTCAATTGAACCGAAATTGAATTCATTCAGTAGAAAAACTACCTGCGTTTAATTTCTCCCTTTTGATATAAAGAATTCGTGGATTTATTGTCTCGAAATCCAATAATCCCCCTCAATTTTATTTTTTCTCATTTCATGATTTTTTCCTTCTGGTTTTCTTTTCAATTGAATAAAAATTAGAATTATTCACCAGAAAAAAAAAATTATCAACACTTGAGCTTTTGTTATTACGAGTTTGCTTGTGAATCCCCATTGAAGACAATCAATTGAGCAATGCTTAAACCTTATCTTTGAATTTCCTATTAAAAATTCATGGTAATTACGTCTCCAAGCCCAAAAACTTATTCTCTCATTCCTAGAATTTTGTTGGAAAATTGAGAAAATAACGATCTCGAATATAATCAATTTATTTTGAAATTTTTCGGCCAAAACTAATACAATTATTTATAGAAGTTCAATGGGGATCCAATAGGATTTCCCATCGCATTGAATTGAATTTGAAATTAATTTATCTATTGAAGTAATACTGTATAAATGTATCTTGGGATTTTTTCCAACATTCTCCAACTGCATGTCGAAAAGTGTTTGTGCGGTGAGATTGAGTTTGTCGAATTTTTCGAACTTTTTTAAGGTTTTTAACTTCATTTCTAGAACAGAAATTTTCTTCTCATACCGGTTTAACTTTTGCCTCATGAGAATTGTTTTTTTTTTGCAGTTGAAGAAGCTGATTGTGATTTTTCTGAATCATTCCACTTGTTCCCTTTCTTGCGTCCATGCGTTTCTGTTTGCTTGCAACTGCTTTAGCGAGTATAGCCTCAGCAGCGGCAATTTCCCCACTCGTCTCTGGCTTTTCCCCACGTATTATTCGCATTCCATCACCCATAACATTCCCAATATCGCACAGGGAATGCTGAGGTTCAGGATCTGTTGGGAATGTGGATGTTGAGGGGACATTCCTCACCTGATCCAAGTGAGGTATCACTTCTGATGTGGAGGATGTGAATGTTGAAGATTCATGTCTCATCACATCGTCTCTAGATGACGCAGAGGATTCTCTCTCACTATTTATCCCGAAACTAGCGTTATTCAACGCTAGTTTCGGGATAGCACTCTCGAGCAATTGTGGATTTCTTTGTATGACGTGGAAATCCTCAACAGAAAAATGTTTTGCGCAGATACGGTACTTGTTTAAATCTTCTCCTTGAACGTTCTCTAGCTCTGGGTTATTGACAGCTTTCCTCCAGTTTTCAGCCATCGAAAGTAAACCAGGAAATTTGTGTTTGCTACATACTCGATCTAGTACGTGCTAGCATCGTGCTTCATCCTCCATCCTCGATGGGTGTATCTCGATGGGATACACCCATTTTTTAAGGACATTTACTCGCTTCAAAAATGACAAACACAATATCCTGATAATTTTTCTGGATTTATGTCAGTGAAGTTGCAATTTTTTAATTCAATTTTAACCAATGCCAGGCGCAATGGGCAGAATCGGACCGCAACTAGCGCCGCGAACGACGGAAGGGAGAATTAAAATCATGTTTCACTCGAAACAATGGAGTTGGACCCCCTAAGTTATCCCATGAGCCGGAATAGCTATGGTTTCCACCACACACGGAAATTCCCGGTATGTGGTATACCACACACGGGAATTGTATGTGTATGGTGGATCCTACACTCTAGCCTGAGATTCTTTTTTCCCCATTCATTTATTTATCCACAATTTTGAAGTTTTCGACTCTTTTATCCACTTGTAAGAATGTCTCCGGGTGCTCTCGACGCCCTCCCCTCGATTTCGGTAGTGACGCCCCTTCGTCCCATTATTCAGAACACTCCACAGCTGAGCCCCCTGCCGACAGCTGTATGGTATAACAGCCCATATACCTGTTTGGGTGTAAGTGGCATTGGGCAGCATAAAGATCTTTAATAGTAGTAGTGGTAGAGGATGGATAGATTTATTACGAGGATAAGTAAGAGACCGAGGATAGAACTTGAAGAGTCAGGGGAAGAGTCACGTGTTTCCAAAGTCCCTTTGCAACCTGACATAACCTCTGCCAGTGTTATTGAATCTGATGTACTTAACTCGTCCAATATTCTGACTGATACTAATCAGAACATCACAGGTACATATTTATCATTAGATTTGCTATATAAGCTAATTCATGATCCATTAAATGTACATGTACTCTGTTTTGTAGATTCTAACAGGCCCAAACCTCCAAATCTTGACACTTTCTCTCGTTGAAAACCCATGGTTGGTTTCGGGACACCCATGGCTCGAGTTGAATTCACCGAATAAAGCAATCTGTATGACATTTACAGACGCAGTGAAGAAGAAGTTACCAATCCCCATTGGTAAGAATTCTCAAAATTCACGGGAGGCTTTTGTCACTGGAGGATACACTTGCTGGACCAATGCTTATAGGGCATTTCCTGCTCATGAAGTGAGTCACTTCCATAAAACCTGTCATCAGCTACTGGTCAGTCCAACAAGTAAGAACGTAGTACAACGTATCTCGACCGTCAAGGAAAAAGAGATGTTAGACAATAGAACGGCGTTGCAGAAGATATTCAGTACGATTAAGAACCTAGCTACTCAAGGCCTACCGCTCAGGGGCAGTAACAACGACGAACGTTCAAATCTATCACAATTTTTAAAAGCGAGATCAGAAGATGTTCCAGAATTGAAGGCGTGGTTGGATCGAACGGGATATAAGTGGCTTCATCACAGTGTACAGAATGAAATGCTCGCTCTTATGGCATCGAGAGTTCGTGAGAAGAATCTTCAAGCAATTCGGACCGCACCTTTCTTCTCTTTGACCTTGGATGAAACCGCCGATATCTCGCGATTAGAACAAATTTCAATGTCTTTCAGAATTGTTTCAGGTGATTTGTGCATTAGTGAAATCTTCCTTGGTTTTCACGAAACGTCTGATACAAAATTAGAGACTTTGTTTCACATCGTGAAAAATGTTCTTGAAGAATACAAATTGGAGATAGACAAGTTACGTGGTCAGTTTTATGATGGCGCTTCGAATGTCTCTGGGAGGATCTCGGGTCTTCAATCTAGGATCAGAGGAGTCGAGGAACGTGCATTATACGTCCACTGCAATGCACACAAACTTAATCTCGTTGTACATGCTATGGAGGGTGTCGATGCTGCACGAAATTTCATTGGGATAATCAAGGATCTCATCAATTTCGTGAGAGATTCGCCGAAGCGTTTAGCCCAGTTCCGAGATCTACAATCTTCATTGTCAGTCGAAGATCAGGGTGACAGCCCTGCTTTGATAGCCTTCTACCCAACTCGGTGGTGCATGAGAGTGCGATCTTTGAAATCAATTTACCCAAAGACTAATTACAATGCAGCATTGCAATTTTTTGATGACCGGAGCAACGATCGTGAAGTGGATAGCAGTATTTCGGCAAAGGCTAGGGGATTTCTGCAGCACTTGGAATCCTTTGAATTTTATTTCTTGCTAACTTCGATTATTTAAATATTTGACAGAATTGAGATTCTGAACTAAGAGCTCCAGAGCTCAAATTTGTGCGTACTTGACTCCCATGAGAAAATTAACGCCGTGCTTACTCAATTAGAATACATGAGGGACTCCAAGTTCGAAACGATTTGGAGTAAAGCTACTGATGGGGCAAAGAGCCTGGAGCTTGACGAGACACAACTGCAGCGCAAGCGCAAAATTCCAAAGCGTTTAGAAAATAGCGGTGCCAGTGCACCCTACGTGTTCCAAACGCCGAAAGAGTACTATCGGAAAATCTACTACGAAATTTTAGATTCTGTGGTAGTGTCTCTGAAGGATCGCTTCAATAGTGATACAACTCAATTGTTGAACAGCGTGGAGGCTTTCGCAGTAGGTATTGGAGGATCTGCAAAAGAAATCGGCGCTTTATATCGAGAAGATTTCGATGAAGAAGTACTCCGTCGAGATCGTGATGATTTCTTGAATATAACTGCAAAGAAGAAGATAGTTCTGCATAATGTAAAGGATGTTGTAACGTTCTTCAAGGACAATTTATGGTGTGTTGGATTGGTACCCGAGTACTTCAAATTCATTCAATTGTTATTGACGATACCAAACTCAACATGCACAAATGAGCGAAGTTTCTCCACTCTGCGGCGTTTAAAAAACTATCTCCGATCTACGATGCTCCAAGACCGACTTAACAATATTGCTACCCTTTACGTTCGCCACCAATTAGTTGAAGATTTAGATTTGCAGGACATTATGAGTTCATGAACCGGCACCCGAAAAGGGCGACAACATTCGCTACTATAAAAAATAAATAATAATTGAAATAATTATGAAAATCTGGAAATGTCCAACATTCCATTCGACATTCTTCCCCCTCCTCCCCCCTCTACGCAAGCAGCACCACACACGGGCATTTGGCCAACCGCCGGCCCTGGCTTTCCACAACTTATCTGGTTATGATTTCCATTTTTTCATAAAGGCTTTAGCCAAACAATTTGAAGGTTCAGTGAAATTACTCCCTACCAATAAGGGAAAATATATTTCGTTTACAAAATCAGTGGAAACGACAAAAGTCCACCTGAGATTTATTGACTCACTTCGATTCATGGCGAGCAGTATAGATAAATTGTCATCATATTTATCTGATGATAAAAAAATTATTACGGCTGTTATGTCAAAGTTAGGTAAAGAAATTATAAAAATTGAATTTAACCCTGACATAAACTGAATCCCTGATGATGAATCGAATCAAAGAGAAAAGAAAATTATTGACTACTAGAAATTCCCGGTAAACTTGAAAAATTATTAATTAAAAAGGAAGAGAAAAAAAAACTATTCACTCACCGCCAAAAAAAATAAACAAAGGAATATTTTCAAGGAAGAGAAAAAGTTTTAAAAATGAAAAGAATTTAGTTTTTACTAAAATGATTCTTACGAATCTGTATTTTAGAAATGAATTCAAAATTTGATGGAAATTACATTTTTTCTTAAGAACTTACAGTAACTGCAAACACTGCTAATCCAAATTGGTTAAAATGCCGCACACACTAAATCCACTCTAACAACTTGCTTCTTCACACAAACTGATTTTACAATTAAACAAATTTAAGCAAAACTAAAAGTATAATTCGAAAAAAACACTTTAAAACAAAATTTTAATTTTAAATGAATAAAAGTCCAAAAGACTTATAAAAGAATCATACAAGATTCTGGACAAAAGAATCAAAGATTCTTCAAAGAAATCGCCCAATGGGTCGATATTAAAATTCCACTTTGGGAATTGTAAAGGAACTAACTAGACACCCCGAAGTGCAGATAGTTTTATCAACTACACTAAGGGTGTGCCCTTGCACTCATTTGGAGGGAAGACTCAAGGGACCAATTACGTTTGGCCTTGGCCCGGAGTTTTCCCTCTCCACACACATGAGTCCCAATGTTTCAGAGGTACTCCACCCTCTTCCACATTAGCACTGGAAAATTACGTTGAGGTGTGGGCGGACTTTTCCAACCCCAACTAACCAATGAGAATCGTTTCAGGAGTCCCATATTGTCCCTCCACGATCTCGTCATTAATTGAATTAATTAAAATTATTCTAATTTAAATCTATAACATTATTTACTTAAAGTTTTCAAACGTTTGAAAAAGTTCAATTAATCTTATTGAATAATTATTATTTGACAATACAAAATTCTCTCAATTGAGAATTTTGGAAAATCAAATATTCACATTAAACGTGAATAAGATGTTTCGAAAAAGAAATAGTTTGAATGAACGATATTTGAGAGAATTGAGAAATTAAAACATTTGATTTTATCAAAACTGGTAATTAAAAATAATTCTCTTTTTAATGAGAAAGACTTTATTCAAAATTTACTAAAAATAATTATTCTCAATTAACTCAAATGTCAAGTGAATTTTAACTTAACATATTTCGCTACAATTATTTAAAGAGACGAAAAGAATTAATTTAAAATTGAAAAGAAAATGTTTATAAAAATGCATTCCTAACGACCGAACGAACACGTGTTCTTTGGCCGCTGAAACTTCCTGTTTATCTTTCTTATCATGAGAAAAACCTCATGTCGATAATAGCTAAGGATTTGGAAGTTTGAACTAAACCCTCTAAACTTTGACCGGCGACATGTAGACGGCTGTATATCGTAAAACTATGAGAAAATATCGCTAAGGATAAATACCCGAAAAGAATTAGTCGGCGTATATTTTTGAAACTGAAATTATTCTATTTATTTTTCCCAGGATGTGAACTGAAAATTGTGTACTGAAGATAATTAGTTTTGTGCAGCTGTATTTTTGGACTGTGGGAGAAATATACAAGTCCGAGAGAAAAATTATTTGTTGAAGATAGGAGAAACATCTGATGATTGCCAGATGATATTTAATTCATTTAAAAATAAAACTAATTATTATTATTTTTCATCGGACGTCACACGGCTAATTATTACACCAACTTGAATCAGTTCAAACTCATCCCACGCAAAGGGGTATTTCCATATGAATATATAGATTCATGGGAAAAACTTAATGAAAGAAAGTTACCCGGGAAAAAACATTTCTATTCGCAACTGAATGATGCTGACATATCTGACGAAGACTACAGTCATGCTTGCAACATTTGGAGGAATTTTGACATCAAAATTCTGGGTGAATATTCCGATTTATATTTGAAGACTGACGTGTTATTATTGATTGATATTTTCGAACATTCCCGAGAGAGTTGTTTTCAAGCATATAATTTGGATCCTCTTCACTATTATACTGCACCCGGACTCGCTTTTGATGCCATGTTGAAGATGACAAAAGTAGAGCTGGAGTTATTTCAAGATCCAGAGATGCTGCTTTTCATCGAAAAGGGTATCAGAGGAGGATTATCCCAATGCTCAAATAGGTATGGCAAAGCGAATAACGAGTACATGGGGAATGCCTATAATCCTAAGGATCCCAAGTCATACCTCATGTATTTTGATATAAACAATTTATGTGGAGCTGCCATGAGCCACTATTTACCACAAAAAGGGTTCACTTGGGTGCAGGATTGGAATTCACTCGATATCCAAAATATCCCCAATGATTCAAGTGTTGGATACATTTTCGAGGTGGATCTCGAATACCCAGAAGAGTTACACATGAACCATCGAGATTTGCCTCTATGTCCTGAACACATTGTACCCCCCAACGGGGAATCAAAGCAGCCAAAACTTCTTACCACTCTGAATTCGAAGAAGAATTATGTCATCCACTATGAAAACCTTAAACAATACTTTTGTCTTGACAAAAATTCATCGAGTATTGAAATTTAATCAGAGTGCTTGGTTAAAAAAATACTTTGATCTCAACACAGAATACAGCAAAAATTTCCAGAATGAGTTTGAGAAAAATTTCTACAAACTCACGAATAATGCAGTGTTTGGGAAAACGATGGAGAATGTTCGAAAGCAAATGGATATCAAGCTGGTGACAAAGTGGGAAGGCCGTTGGGGGGCTGGAACCTGGATATCAAAACCGAATTTTCACAGCAGTGTAATCGTTGATAAGGATTTAGTCATCATCCAAATGAACCGCACACAAGTCAAATTCAATAAACCGATTTACGTAGGTTTTAGTATTTTAGATATTTCTAAAACTTATATTTATGACTTTCATTATAATTATATCAAAAATAATTTTAATGAAAATGTAAAATTATTGTATACAGACACTGACAGTCTCATCTACCATTTTTATACGATTAACATTTATGATTTTATAAGGAATGATCTGCAAAAATTCGATACCTCAGATTACCCTGAAAATAATGCATATGGCATCCCTCTTATAAATAAGAAAAAATTAGGGCTTATGAAAGACGAAATCAATGGGAGGGAATTTATAGGTTTAAGATCAAAAATGTACTCGTTTAAAGTGTTTGGAGAAGAGCGAGAAAAATCTCGAGCAAAAGGGATAAAAAGATCCGCCCTCAGAACAATCACGTTTGACGATTACAAGTCGTGCTTAGAAAATCATCTAAATATATCTAGACCTCAAAATTCGATAAGATCTATGCAGCACAATGTATATACGATTAACCAGACAAAATTATCGTTAAGTTGGCATGATGATACACGTATTCTCATGCCAGGTACTCCTGATACTTTACCCTACGGGTTCAAAGAATAATGTAAATATAGGGTTAGGGAGAAAAAAATAAAACAGAATTTTTGTGCAAAAAAAATGACATTTTTATTTAAACAAATCATACTTCAGTTTGCCTCCATCTTATAATATTTATGGTAGAAGTTGGCATTGTCCATGGAACCAACACTAATAGTCCAAGACATACCACCCCCAATCCTATTGACATTAAAGCAAATAACATTCCGTAAGATTTATGGTCTTGCGCATGACCATCACATTCATGTAAAATTTCTTCAAGTGGTACATAATATTTGGGGCGATAATCGAAACACTTTCGTTTATATACTAACGTTGTCACATTAAGATTCTATCCAAAAATTTATTTTTCAGATTTTTTCACATTTTCTTGAAATCCTAGCATTGTTATCGATGATGTAGACGCTTAACATCTCTCTTTCAATTGAAGTATTTCCACTCCTGAGACATTTATGGCGTTAATCCACTGACCCTCACACCAAATATCCACTTTCTCGTTTTGGGGTACTGAATATAGCCGTCCTTTTTGAGTTTTTTTTCCAATGAGAATTGTAAGTCGAGCTGACCTTGATAGGGCAATTACCAAAAAGTGATGCTAATGAGTTATCTTTTTCGGAAATCATCGCCTCACAAATTGGATGGGTGTTGATATCATAAAATGGATACTTAGGTTCACAAATAAAACGATAATCATCGATAATCCCACAGTGTGCGAGATCCTCAGCGTGTGCCAAAGTATAAAGGTCTTGGCCGAGTAGCAGGTAGTCAGCCCGTGATTGAATGCACGCCGACCCACGTTTATGACCGAACAATTGAAGCGCTGGGAGAGGGTACATTTTGAATAATTGGTAGACTGAGGAGGTAACTAATGGGATCTTGAGAATGACAATTAGCTCCCCTTCATGAAAGCCTATTTTTGTCTTCGAAATTTCCAGTAATTTGTCGGCNTTATTTAAACAAATCATACTTCAGTTTGCCTCCATCTTATAATATTTATGGTAGAAGTTGGCATTGTCCATGGAACCAACACTAATAGTCCAAGACATACCACCCCCAATCCTATTGACATTAAAGCAAATAACATTCCGTAAGATTT